CTAAACCAAAAAGAGATCAACAGCTTAAACAGGCCCATAACACATAAAGAAATTGAAACAGTAATACAAAACCTCCCCACAAAGAAAAGCCCAGGGCCAGATGAATTTACAGCAGAATTTTATCAGTAATTTAAGGAAGATCTACTTCCAATACTACTTAATTTATTCAAAAAAATAGAAATGGAGGGAAAACTTCCAAATTCCTTCTATGAAGCCAGCATCACTCTCATACCAAAGACAGGTAAAGATACAACCAAAAAAGAAAACTATGGACCCATATCCGTAATGAACATAGATGCAAAAATATCTCAACAAGATACTTGCAAACCGCACACAGACACACATCAAGCTGTCCACTATGTCCACAATCTCCACTCCTTTTTAACACAGTGCTTGAAACTCTTGAAAGAGCAATAAAACAAGAGAAGGAAATTAAAGGAGTAATAATTGGAAAAGAAGAGATCAAATTATCCCTTTTTGCAGATGATATGATATTATATCTAAGGGATGCCAAAAATTCCACCAGGAAAAGACCTAGAAATTATTATCAAGTTCAGTAAAGTGGCAGGTTACAAAATTAACCTAAAAAAGTGTATAGCCTTTCTATAGACAATAACAATCAGAGAAAGAGCACATGGAAACATGCCGTTCACAATAGCTGCAAAAAAAAAGAAAGAAAAAAATCTCAGAATAAACCTGACCAAAGACATTAAAGAGGCCTACAGTGAAAATTTTAAATCTTTAAAGAAAGAGATTGAGGAAAACATCAGAAGATGGAAGGACCTCCCATGCTCATGGATTGGAAGAATTAACATTGTGAAAATGACCATCCTACCAAAAGTCATATATAGATTCAATGCAATGCCAATCAAAATCCCCATGACATATTTCACAGAATTGGAAAAAACTATCCTAAGATTCATATGGAAGCACAAAAGACCTCGGATAGCCAAAACAACCCTCAGCACTAAGAGCAATGCCGGGGGGTTACTATACCAGATTTTAAGCTGTATTACAGAGCTAGAGTCATAAAAACAACATCGTACTGGCACAAAATTAGACCCATAGACTAATGGAACAAAATTGAAGACCCAAATATGAGTAAATGCAACTTCAGCAACCTGATATTTGACAAAGGGGCCAAGAACATTAACTGGAGAAAGCATGTTCAGCAAATGGTGCTGGCAAAACTGGATCTCCACTTGTAGAAGAATGAAACTAAACCCCTATCTTTCACCCTGCACAAAATCCAAATGGCTCAGAGACCTCAATGTAAAA